AAATATGAGGACACAATTAAGCTGAAAGCAAATGGATAGAGAAATATTTACCATGTGAACACTGGAAATCAAAGTGGGTGCTACTAATATGATTGGATAAAATAATCCTTAAAGCAAGAAGTTCATTGGATATAAAGAAAATATTCTATACTGATAAATGGCTTAATTCGACAAAAAGACATACAAATTCAATTTTGAACGCAACAAAACATACATTTTGAAAACAACTCAGAGAGAGAGAAAGCCAGCCACCATTCTTTTTTTTTTTTTTTAAAGATTTTATTTATTCATTTGAGACACAGAGACACAGAGAGAGAGAGAGAGCATGAGCAATGAATGAGAGAAGCAGACTCCCGGCTGAGCCAGGAGCCCGATGTGGGGCTCGATCCCAGGACCCCGGGATCATGACCCGAGCTGAAGGCAGACGCCTAACCATCTGAGCCACCCAGGCGCCCCGTCAGCCACCATTCTGTCTGGAGATTTTAACATTTACCTTTCAATACCAGAGGCAATGCAAATTAAACATATTGGTAAGAAAGATTTTTACAATATAATTTAATAATTTACTCTGATACTTATAGAACATTATGCCCATATGGTAGAAAAAAAGATTCTTCTAAAGTGCACATAGAACATTTACAAAAGCAGATCTTAACTTAAGCCATAAAGAAACTCTAAGTAGTTAAAAATAAAAATTGTACAATGTAGTACACAGTAGAATAACTACTATATTTTTTGCAGGGTTTAGAAATTAAGGAACCCCTCGCCCCCCCAAAAAAAGACACAATAGAAATTAAGAAATCTTTTGAGCTGAATGACAATGAAAATAAAACATATCAAAATTTGTGTCATGTACCAAATTTATAGCTTAAAAAGCACATATTACTGAGAAAAGAGTAAAAGTAAATTACCTAAGCTTCCAACTCAATCAGTGAGAAAAAGAATAGTAAATTAAAGCCAAAGTATAAAAGAGGAAAGAAAAAAAAATTAAATGAGGAAATATCAAAGAACAAAACCAGACATACAATAGAAAAAAAATCAGTAGAGCCAATTGATAGATATTCAAAAAGAATTATAAAATTGATAAACACCTAACAGAGGAGATCAGAATAAAAGAGAATACACAAATTCCAGAAATGAAAATGGAAATAGGGACATCACAACTATAAATACTAAAAATATAATAACAGGTAATTACATATAACTTTATGTCAATAGCTTAGAATTTTTATTTTTATTTTTTAATTTTAATTTTTTATTTTTTTGAGAATTTTTAATAAACTAAGCAAATGTCTTAGAAATTCAATTTACCAGTACTAATACAAAATAAATAGAAAATCTGAATAATATTATATCTGTAAAATAAATTTAATCCATACGTAAAATCCTTGTCAAAAAGAAAATAACTGGGTCAGATAGTTCCACTGATGCATTTTTCAAAATATTTAAGGAAGAAATAATACCAAATGTCCCAAAAAAATCTCCCATAGAATAGAAAAATAAGCAACACTTTCTATCTCATTTTATGTAACCAGCATAATGCTGATACCATAACCTGACAAGGACATTAGGAAGAAAAATCAGGAAAAAGATATTCCCATGAACATTGACATGAAAATTCTAAAATCACAGCAAATTTAATCCAGTTGATGTATCAAACGGTTAATACATGATAATAAAGTGGGATTTATTTATGGAAAACCATTCCTTTTTATTTACCATGTTAACAGAATAAAGGACAAAATCAAAGAGCTAGAAATATTATTTGCTAAATAAAATCCAGTACCATTTCACGGTTAAAAATTTTATTCTCATGAAACTGGGCATAGCAAATACATTTTTAAAACTATAACTAAGAGAATCTACCAAATATATCTGTCTCTAATATTACACTGAAAGATAACATGTTGACTGCTTTCTCACTAATTAGATACACTGTTAAAATTTAGACCAAAATTAGATAAAAATTAGATGCACTGTAACACTACTATTCAAATTTTACTGAACATTTTAGCTTTCAAAATCAGGTTAGAAAAAAACCCACAAAAATTATGGTTAAAAAAAAGAAAGAAACTAGCTTAGTTTTACTTTAGATGACATAAATTTTATACAGAGAATACAAAATAATCTAAATATAAGATATTGACAATAATAAGTAAATTTAGGAAGGTTCCCAAACATAATGTGAAAAATCATATAAATACAACATACGTACATACAAAAAATCATATATTCACATACATATACAAACATAAGAAGCAAGAAAAAATGAAATGAAAAAATCAGTTACACTTCTCTATAAAAATATCAGTATCAAATATCTGGAAATTATATAATGAAAATAAGCAAGACTTTGAAACTGGAAAATACAGAGAAGTACTGAGAAAAACTCAATAACTAAATCAATGTACATCAAAACCACATTACTGGATTAAATGACTGAGTCTATTTATAATGCCCATTTTGTCCAAACTGATATGTAGTTTCAACACAATCCTAGGTACATTTTTTTAATCCACAAGCAGATTATAAAATCTACAAGGAAATGTAAAGGATCTAGAATAACCAAAGCGATACTGAATAATAAGAGCACAAAGGTGAAGGACTTTTAGTATCATAGTTCAAGACATCAAGACATTTCCACTAATTATGGCAGTGGAAATCATGTAAAAAAATCACATTATATATATATATATATATATATATATGTTATATATATATATTTATTTATATATATGTTATATATATATATTTATTTATATATATATATATGTTGGAGGAAAATGATCTCTTCAATAAATTAAATAAATAAATTATATGGAAGAAAATAAACCTTACCTCCTCCTTTATACCATAACACAAAAAGTAATTATAGATTAAAAGCCAAATTAAAGCAAAACAATCATTCTTCTAGAATATAACACTGGAGGTAAAGGTTGGCTATACAGAACCCTAAAATCAATAACCATAAAATAAAACCCTGCTGAAATTTACTAAAGGAATTTATTAAACTTAAATAGTTTTCTGTTAACTAAGAGTAGGATGACTAACTGCCCTAGGGGTTCCCAGGAGGTGGGATTTTAACCTAACACCAGGACTGTCTCAAAGCAAAAGAGGATTGATGATCATCCTACCCACAGACAGAATAATTATATCTGTGACTGTATCATCAGAAAGAATAGGATGGAAATGATGTTGTATGACTTCCAAAGCTAGATCATAAGAGGCGATTCAGCTTCTGACTTGATCATGTAAGCACTAACAGTGGAGCTCTGAGCTGTCATGTAGGCAGTCTAACTGTCTTCACGCCACCATGCTGAGAGGACTCACAGGATGGTCCAGGACAGAGAGATCACATCCCAGAAACTAAATAAAAAAGAGATGTCTAGCCAAGTCCCTGGCTTCTCCAATCACCAGCTATTCCAGCTCCATCCACCATCTAACTAAAATTTCAAAAGAGACCTGAAGCCAGACTACGCTGGTAGTACATTCCCAAATTCCTAACCCAAAGAAACTGAGAAGTAACAATTATTATTGCTTTAAGCGTTTAAGTTTTGGAGACAATTTTTACACAGCAATAGTAACTGGAACAGCAACCCACTTAAAAAAAAAAAAAAAAACAAAACCTCAAACAAATTTTCCACATATTATTATCATATTCAATCTTAACTTTTGTCCACATGACATATTAAATAAAAAATTTAAAAAATAGCATAATATGATACCATATGTATGTACATATGTATGATGTACATGATTGAATAAAATTTTAATGAAATCTCTCACCAACACAATTTTTACTCTATATATGCATATATTATTTAATTTTAAAATATATTTACATATACTATTTGCATTATTTTTAAATGAACTATTTTTAATAGGAAAATCTGTTGAGGCCAACTACAACATGAAGGTTAAATATGAGCACCTAAAGCTATAGAGAAGGCTCTACAAGGAAAAGCTAAAATAAAAATTCCCTCTTAAAGATGTTTTCTTGATTATACCATGGAAGTAAAATAATGAATAAGATATATTCCAATTTATCATTACAATATTCCTTTGCTTATAATCAGTATAAATTAACTAGTTCACATGATTAAGCTAAGCAATAATTTAGGCAATCATAAATAAAATTATTTCCCTAAGATTTTCATTGATTCTCAGTTTTACAAGAGTTAAACATTAAAACATTAGTTTATTAGTGAAGATCTGTTTTCTTTAAAAATGATGAACAGGCTTAAAACTAAAGAAATACTATAGTAGAAAGTAAAACTGAAGTGCAACCCAAGCGCAACCCAAGATTCTTCTCCCTAAATATTAAGTGTAATACTTTTTGTGATTCATTATCAGTTTCACATTTGATACATTGACACCAATACTAGCATTGTTTTAAAAACATTTAAACTTTATGAAAATTCTTAAAGCATAACTTACATAGTGTTTCAATACAATGTCTAGGTTTCTTCAGAAATAAAACAGAGGGATATTGCCTCCACATGTTAACTAAATTCTGGATACTGTCTTCATTGTGGCCTTACACTTTCTGTAAGGACAACAGCAGTGGCAGCTGGGGTAAGAGAGGCTTGTATAGAAATAGGAGGAGATCCAACAATGGTTCCTCTGCTATACAAAGACTATTTTTGGAGGAAGAGGAGACCTGAACTACCCAGAAGGAAACATACTAAATACAGCTTTAGAAATATGAAACTTTGCAAGCCTTTTGGGTCTGCATCAAAAATAAATGAGACCAGCTGTCAACATTAGTCATGGTTTCATCTTCTTCTCTTTGTATAATTCCCAAATTGTACAAATCAAGATAGAAAACAATAAATTACCACTTTAAGTAATTTATGCTCATCTAAATATTTTAATTCTTTTATGTCTAATGTGCAAAATCTAAGCCCCCCACTTATAGCAGATCATAATGTCTAGGCAAAATCTCATTATATTTATACTTCCTAGGTGCAAGTTATTACAAGGTTCAACATTATACTCACTGTTTCCCTCTCTCCTTTGTTCTTTCTCTTTCATTCACTGGTGAAGTTGACTCTGAAATAACCTGGACTTCCACTGTACCTAGAAGAACAGAGAGGAAATTACCGAATAGAAAAAATAATTCTTTTTATTATCTCAAAGCTTAAAAAAAGGATATAAATGAAGTGTATTATTGTGTGAACATTTCCTTTATATGCACACACATACTTGTTTTGTTAATAAATAAGTATTCTATTACTTTGTTGATTAACAGATTTTAAAACAAAGTTCTGGAAAAATATTTTGGCATAATGGTCAAGATAGTTCTCTAAGGAATATAAATTTTATTGGTTATTAGTAGAAATATACTTAAGAATGTCACTCAGTGCAATTACCTTAAAACTACCTACCACCAAAATCAACTTATATTCTACTACTGAGAAAAAATTTTTTTGTTACACTTTTGGCTTTATAACAGAACCTGAAAACATGTTGAGGCTCAAATAAAAAATGATCCCTCTCTTTATTTTTTTTAAAGTGTGACCCACCTCCATCCGAGACTTTCTCATTCCTAATTTCAGTTGTAGTTCCCATGCTTATTTTCTTATCTTTTATAAAGTATTATACAAAGTCACAGAGCTATTAGGACTCAGGACTAGTTTCTAAGACAGGCTTTTCTTGTAAGAAACAGCTGTCAGAAGTGACAGGATACAATTGTTAAAAAGTCTAAAATAAAGGCTAAATAAATGCCTACATATAAAGTGGTATTTTTCTTCTATGTCTAAACAAAGCATTTTCTCTCCATTCATGTTGCTTGCTAGACTCAATATATCACCTGTCTCATTCTTATTAAAATGAATTATCACTGCCATGCTGCACATGATCAGTGAAACCAAAGGAAATTACCTATACTACTACTAGACACAGTGCAGAACCACTTCATGATTTTAGTGTTGCTAAAAAACAAAACAAAACAAACAAACAAAACAACAAAACAAAAAAAACTGTGATCACTTTACTGGATGAATATATTATATTGAATTTTATTTGGTGGGAGGGCATGTACAATTATACCTTTTCAATGGGTTTTGATTCACAGTATTTAATTCAAATCTAGGGATTTAACACATAAATTATAGAGTTTATAGATCTCAGTTTGAGAGTTAACAGGGGAGCATAAAATCTGAATATAATTAAAGAGAGGTGTTGGTGAATAGGAAAAAAATAAAAATAAAAATAAAATTTTGGTACAGAGCAGGATAAACTAAAGGAACTCAATGGGAACCCCTGGCACTACTGTCAAGTAATCTAAAATGGGAGACAAAATGGTGGGGGGGGGAAAGAAATGCCGAAATAGCATAAGAATCAGAATGCAATTTTCTGCCTTAGAGGCTAGGCTTTAGCAGATTAGGTCCTTGAGAAACATGAAGATGATTACAGACATTTCAGAATCATCATCAAAAGTAAAATGATAGGCAGATGGACAGGCTCATCCATAGTTGGATACTAGAGAAAAGTGACTGTGTTTTCTGGGGAACACAGTTTCCACAGTAAAGAGTTAACACCAGTGGTACACAAGCATTATCTAGGGCTGGAGATGATGACCCCTTCCATTTGCAATGGTGGGTGGACACTGACCCACCTGGCAAGGTCTTCTTGGGATGGAGCAATGGTTTGCTATGCTTAGGAAATGTAGGAGCTGGAGTAACTTCAATGATAAGGAGTGTCTGAGAAATTGGATGGGAAGTTCTCAATACCACCTAGTAAATAATCTATTCATTATCTTGGATCATATCTATACTCCCAGACTGACAAAGTTTGGAGAGATAACCATTACTAAAGAAACAGCCACATCCCAAGTCTAATTGTCTCTATTTTGGTAAAATCTCTATCCACTAGCTAAATACAAGATATGAATTATCTTGCTCCATTCCTTACATGTATAACTCAATATCATCAGTATTAGTTTATCCAGTTCTTCAAGCTTCCAAAGCAAAATTCTGTTTATACAGGTGAATTAGAGAGCAATATATAAATTATTTACTATTTTGTAGACGACCTAGAGGAAAATATTTTCATCGTATATACAGAACAAACACTTTAATCAGGCCCACAAATCCTTTATCACCACTGTCACTGGGAGCTTTTCTATTCTCTGCCCATCCTTTCCTTGCACAGTGCTCTGCCTTCCACTCCTCCCTGTATTAACAACTCCCTTTTTTCTTCTCCAAGGCTCCATTTCACCTGCCACTATGGTTACCACAGTCTCTTGGAGTTTCTCCCACTGCAAAGGAATTCTCATATGATTGGTAAAAACACAAAACATTCTCCATATATTTCACATGAAAGTTTTAATGATTATGCTATAATATAATGAAAATATTTAATTTTGCCCATGTTAGAAATGGCTATATTTACTTCATAAAACAATAACAATGAGGTATATTGTTATTGGTAGTATGTATCAATATATTCAGATACAAAGACTTTGGTGTAGCATACCAGTACAATTTGAAAAAGCCTACCATGAATGATGAACACATTTTGATAATGGCACATATTGCATTGGAATTATATGAGTATACTCTGTAAAGCTGCCCCATGGTGTACTATTTAATAAAACTAATTTAAAAGAGAACTTCCACTCACATTTTTTTGAAACCTGGATTTCCACACAGAATAGTACATTAAATTGGAACATACCTATAGCTAAGTATATAAAAGGTGGGAACAATGGAAAAAGTACAGAGAAGAGGCTCCTCTTTCTGGGATCACATCCTGGTGCTTTTGCCCCCTGCACCTTCCTACAGTATTCCACCTACCATATGAATCTGAGCTTATGATGTTTGTTCTTTAAAAGCTTTCTGTGAACAGCTCTTCCTTTTCGTCTTTCATGATAGGACCTTTTACAACCTTTCCAGGAACAGCTAAATAAATGAAAAGTTTTTCATTTCTTCTTTGGTCTGCAAAAATAGCTTTTGTTGATGATGAAAAGTGCCACCTCCCAAATTTCTCATTTTTCCATGAAGCAAAAGGTTTACTTTCTGAAGGTTTCACAAGTACTATGAATCACTATATTTATCTTTCTTCTGGATGTAGAAAAATGGGTGGCAATTTAAACCAAGGCCTTGCAAATTTCTCAAAATATGGCACCATGACCATGTCTAGATTTACTTACTTGACCTAGACTCTAATTTTATTTTTACAAAAAAAACCACTCTTAATTGTAGTTACAGTTGTATATATTTTCTTGTCAACAAAAGAAACAGAAGAAAGAGTTTAGCAAATCATTCATAGCTAGGCTCTGCATATGAAAAACCTAATAGTGCAACTTAAAAAAGGATATTTTTTAAACGTGCTAATTATACCTCCAATTTATTGGAATACTATCTTTGATGCTTAAGACAAGTGATGTTCAATAATGCATTTTCAAGCAGTGATACCATTATACATAACTATGAGGGTTTTCAAGTAGATATTTCCTTTTAAAGTATCAGGAAAATACCACAAAATAGGTTTGCATCCCAATAATTTATTGCAATTTCATTGATATACTTGCAATTTTCTCAAATGTTACTGGAGGTACAGTTTTAAAAGAGGGAAAACAATATATAAATGAGACTTTTCATTTTGATGCTATAAAAATAAAATTTATGAAGTATTTAATATTATTGCCATTCATTATTAGTTCCTAATATATACCTTTAAAATGATAGGTTCTTGTTTAAGCAATTGAAATTATTGCTTGTTTGTAATAGGTCCTGTACTTATGGAAAAAAAGTTTGTAATTTTTGTAAAGTGTGAATATATTCATAAATCCATTTATAATGGATGTTTTAACATCGGTGCTAAATAAGTATTTTTAAAATCCATTCTACGCACAAATATGTGTGCCCTCATAAGTAAGAATAATTAGCAAATTAATTCATTACATTGTTTATACTTCAATTATAAAGGCAAATAAAAAGCTGTTCATGTTCTGCTTGAATAGATTTGCAGTCTATGCAAGTATTGTTTGACCTTAGTTTCCTTTCAGAAATTGAGGATATTTAAAACAAAAACGTTCTGAAAGGCAATCATAAATTCAATTCATTAAGTGACTAAGTGAAGAAATTATACAATAGATAAACTATAAAAAGTGTTAGTGTAAAACCAAAAATCTGGCTATTTGACCACAGATGTATGCTAGTGGAAATGAGCCACTGCAGCCTGCATACATAGAAGCACATGGGCCAGTTGTGCATACAAATGAGTTAAAATCCATGGTCATACAACTGTTGCTCAACATTAGACTACATCTACTGCGTTATTCATTTTAAAAGAAGATGTTTAAATTAAAGTTATTGGATAACAAATGGGTTATTCATAAACTCATGAATTCAATAACAAATTCCACTTTCTTTACTATCCTACTTACTAAAACAGTTTTGCCCTCCGGGTCTACTTGAAGAGTGAACATCCACATTTGTTTTAATTCACTATCTTAGCAAAGGTGTCAGGTTCTAATATTTTAAGGCAAATTAAAATAGGTACTGATCTTAATATGGTATCCCAATGGCACCAAACATTACAACTTCAGGCTTTTACGCCTTTCTCAAACACACACACACACACACACACACACATACCCAAATTAATTTTGTATGATTTTCAGTTCTAGTTAGAGCCTTTGTCCCAAGGGCTTGTTAATCTTGTATCCCATTCCTGCCCTGTTACAATTTAAAGATTGTCAAAAGAAGGATAAATTTCATGCCATTTTCTGTTCTCATTACAATCTTCAGATTGTTATGAGAACGGATTAATTTTGCTCAATTTTCTGTCCTCGTTACAGACTGTTATGAGAATGGATTAATTTTATGACATTTTCTTCTTTCATTATAATCTTTGTTATGGGAATGAGAATATGTAATGAGAATGAGAGCATATCAAGCATTAAAAGGTCTGTGAGAGCTCATGACAAAGATTGTAACAAGAAGAGAAAACGGCACCCAATTCATTCTTGTGACAATTTTAAGATTGCCAAGCGAACCCAGAGTGACACTGCATTTATCCACTCTGAAGACAAAGATTGTTGAGAAAATGGAAATGAGAGCAAAATTAAT